CATCAGTATCGTCATCATCATCAACAGCATCATCATCATCGTCGTCATCACCAGCATCATCAACATCATCATCAGCATCATCATCAGTATCGTCATCATCATTGTCATCATCATCCTGATCTTCACCAGCGGCAGCAGTATCATCATAGTCATCATCAGCAGCAGCACCATCATCAGCAGCAGCAGAAGAAACAGCAGCATCGTCATCATCAGCAGCAGAAGCATCTCATCGTCATCACCATCATCATCAACATCAGCATCAGCATCATCACCATCGTCATCAGCAGCAGCATCAGCAACATCATCACCATCATCAGCAGCATCATTGTCGTCGTCATCGTCATCATCATCAGAATCATCATCATCATCATCAGCATCGTCGTCCCCATCATCCTCAGAATCATCACCATCATCATCATCATCATCATCATCATCATCAGTATCATCGTCAGCATCATCCTCAGCGACATCATCATCATCGTCATCGTCGTCGTCCTTGTAATCATCCTCATCGTCATCCTCATCATCCTCGTCATCAGCATCATCAGCATCATCAGCAGCATCATCATCCTCATCGCCATCAGCAGCAGCATCAGCATGAGAATCAGCAGCATCATCAGCAGAAGAAGCATCAATATCATCAGCAGCAGCATCACCATCATCGGCATCGGCATCATCAGCATCGTGATCAGCAGCAGCAGCATGATCATGTTCATGAACATCGTCTTCAGCATCATCGGCATCGCCATCTGCATCATCATCATCAACAACAACCTCAGCACCGTCAGCAGCATCATCATCAGCACCAGCATAGCCGTCAGCATCAACATCAGTATCGTCATCATCAGCAGCATTATCATCAAACGCAGCATCATATTATTCTTCATCACCATCATCATCGGTATGGTCAATATCATCATCACCATCAGCAGCATCATCGCCATCATCAGTATCAGCAGCATCACCATCAGCATCACAATCACCAGAATCAGCATCATCAGCATTATAACAATCATCATCCTAACCATCATCACCATCTTTATCATCATCATCGTCATCATCATCATCAGCGTCAGCATCATCATGAACAACACCATCATCATAATCATAATAATGATCATCATCGGCAGCATCATCGTCATGGTTTGTATCATCGCCAGCATCATCATCTCATCATCGCCAGCATGATCATCAGCAGCATCAGCAACATCACAATCATCGTCAGCAGCAGAATCGACAGCCGCAGCGCAAACCTCGTCATCATCAGCAGCATCATCATGATCCCGATCATAGCCATCACCACCACCATAACCATCACCACCACCAACATCTTCATCATCGTCATCATCGTCGTCGTCATCGTCATCATCATCATCATCATCATCATCAGCATCATCACCATCATCGTTATAGGAAACGTTATCGTCCTCAATATCATCATCATCAGCAGCAGCATCATCATCATCAGCATCATCATCGTCATAATCATCGTCATCGTCATCGTCATCGCCATCATCAGCAGCATCATCAGCATCATCAGCATCTGCAGCAGCAGCATTGACTGCACCATCATTACCATCATCGTCATCATCATCATCATCGTCATCATCAGCATCATGAGCAGCATCAACAGCATCAGCATCGTCATCATCATCGTTATCATCATCATGACTATCATCGCCATCATCATTGACAGAATTCTCATCCGCGTCCGCACCATCGTTGTCGACATCACCAGCATCAGTATCGTCATCATCATCACAATCATCATCAGCATTACCATCAGCATAATCGTCATCATCAGGAACAGCAGCATTGTCACCAAAGCCGCATCAGCACAAGCACCATCATCGCCATCATCAGCATCGTCATCGCCAGCGTCATCGTCATCAACATCATCACCACCATAATCGTCAACATCATCATGATTAGCATCATCAACATCGCCATCGTCATTGCCTTCGTCATCATCATCAAGAAAAGCAGCATCATCAGCATCAGCATCAGCATCACCATAAGCTTCATCATCATCATCATCATCATCATCATCATCATCATCATCGTCATCAGCATGTTCAGCATCACCACCATCACCATCGTCACCACCATCGTCATCAAATCCATCAGATTCATACTTCTCGTCATCTTCGCCGTGGCTCCCCCAGGCCTGGAGACACGGGGCGTCACACGTGACAGCCTCCCGCGCACCCTCCAACAAGCCGCCACGCAGGATGCTGGGCTCGCACGGTGGCGGGACCTGCTGCAGGCAGCAGGACTAGAGGAAAGAGAACTATGCACATACACCGATTCTGGCCAGGCCCATCCTGAGCCCAGGATCGGTGCATACGCCCTCTACCTTGGCCAGGAAGGTATATGCACCGATCCCGGGTCAGGGATGGGCCTTGCCAGGATCGGTGCATGTGTATGGCTCTCTTCGCCCGAAGGACGACGATCACGACCACTGTCACGACGGGCCGCGCAGCTGCGGAAAAGGACATGC